CAGAGACACATACATGCATCCACATGCACGCACACACACATACACACACACCACTATTCTCAAAGCATCCCCTGCAAATCCTTCTTTTACTATCCCTTCAATTCTTATGTGTTCTTTATTCTGACATATATTTTGCATTTGCCACCAGCCTGCTATTTCACAAATTACTCTTCTGGGTGAATGTTTTCCTCCCAATAAACTATAACTTCCCTCAAGAGCTTCTGTGATTCTTCGACCTACCTCACGCCATCTAGCAATTTAGTTGGTGCACAATGGATGCCCCGTAAAGACTTTTAATTAGCCATCTCTCCCAGAACCACATTTTGTTGTGTTTTTCATTGCCTGGTTACCTAATTACAACGGTCTTTATGGCCCTGAGGTCATTCCCAATATCCTCCTGGTCCCGGTCAGGCTGCAATTGTCACCACGTTAGCTTCTCCTTTTGCCAAAGATGTCATTGGCTTCTGCAAGCCAGACGAGCAAGCTCCCTGCCTCTGCTTAAGTGGTTCACACTCCTGCACTGCTGTGCTGCTGCCTTAAACAAGAAAGCAGCCCAAGACAGTAAAATCACACCTAATGCGTACTTGGGACATTTTCATGGGGTTCCTCACTCCCTACATATTGCGGGATTTTTCTCGCAACAAAGGGTTTTGGAAAAAATGATTTTATGTTAGATATAGCACAGACGCAGAAAGGCACATAAAATATAACGTATATAACATAAAGGATTGAGTGAGGCCGACACCCTTGTCATGACCACCCAGGTTAGGGGATGGAACTGTGGGCCCCCGAGTGTGAGTGACATATCAGCCCCCTCTTTCATGGAAGTCACCTTCTTATTTTCCCTTCTACCTTCATCTCTCCAGTGTGCCCCACTACACACTATAATTTAGCTTGTCCATTTATTTTCATTATCTTCTAATAATTTTAAGAATTCAAGACCAATTGCTTTCTGAGTATTAATTCTACATGAATGCTTCAGTAAGCTCTGTGTTTCACTGTTACTTACATATACGCTATGCATATTCTCTTAGCCGCACAATACACACATCCGTACGCACACCTGTATTCTCTCTACTTTCGTCTCTCTTTCCACCTTTATAACTATATATATACACCACTTAAATACAAATTTCGCTGCAACTTAATAGTCATGTTGATTTCGAGCCATTATGCATGGTACAATCTCTGTGATTTTTCAGGTTTTTAAATTTTGGAATAAATTAACAACTATGATGCTGAAACTAAGGGAAAATGTCAATATAAAATACACTTGGATAGCTTAATACCTATGGGTACTAATGGGACATAAGAGAAAAAATCTCTTTCATTAAAGACTTGATATAAAATCTATAAAGATTATTTTCAGAAAAATTACTTCTCATGCCAGGAAGTACTAAAGATAGTGTTAAGTACAGTTCAGACAGTGATTTCCTTCAGAGGGTTCAGATGATTTGCACACATTATCTTGTCCTTTTAGCTTCTGAAGAGTGTCGAATCATGGGTAAGTAATGATGATCTTATTTTGAGTCAAGCAAGAAGGGCAGAAAAGAAGGCCAGCAACGACAAAGGAGCAAATGAAATACGTGTGTGACCTAACACAGCATCCTGCAGGTCCTGTAAGATTTCACAGCCTCTGACACGGGACAGCTGGTAGTCCAATGCTAAACACAAATGTAGAAAAGCTGGAGCAAAGTCCTTGCAAGCGACAAAGTCTATCTTTCTGAGTTTGAAATCAAAGTAAGACAAAAGGAAAGGAAATCAGCCAAGGAACTCATCAAAGGGTTTACCAGGAGTTGTGATTGAAAGTAGAGTGCAGAGCGACTTTCAACATTATTGAGCCAGAATTACACAGACCACGTCTGGGTACTGAGATATTTCTAAACCGGCCTGTTAGGTTTGCATTTGTATCTGTGGCCTCAGACCCATCGGCAGGAGGCAATTCGCGATGAAGTCAATATAACAAGGACAGAGCTAAGGTCCATTTGGAAAAGCCTGATGTCGGCTCTGTGTTGCCCCTCATTCATATTTGTCCACTTCCACATTCAAATGGAAGGCTTGAATGATTCCAGATTTAAGCTAGGGCATCCATGCTTCAGGTAAAAGGATATCACAGTGTGAAGTGTGAATCTGGAGAGCAATCTCTCTGCTGATACCATAAGCAGGTGCTACGATTTATCTAACACCTGGAAAAGATCAGTAATATCTCCTATTGTTGAAGCACAGTGGATGTGATGCCTTAACTTCATTTCAATACTAAGCCTCTGTGTCTCATTCTGTTGTTTAGAGTTATGATCAGAATACAGGATCCCCTCTTCTTTGAATTAAAAAGTGCTGTAGCAAATGCAGTGCACTGCTACCCTCTACTACAGACCGTAGTAGTGACTTTGGTCTCATCTAAATGAGCTTGAAGTGCCAAAAAGACCTATCTAGACTCAAATGTACAATACATATATAAAACAAGATCAATAAAAATCTGCAAATACCCAACTGTCCCTATTGCTCATAATGGAGATTATGAAACAGAGTAATAGTGACCTATGGGTGAATAAATATGAATGTATTCTACAATACAGAATGAATAAAAATTCCCGAGGATGTTCCTGTTTATGATAAAGGTTTTATCTTCCACTTGAAAAAGAAAAAAAAAAAGTTCCGGTAGTTCAGCTTACTAGGCATTCACGTAATAATTCGTTTAGCTATTGGTTTGTTGGTGGCTCTCACTTGCACTATAAGTGATATTTAATCCATTAGGTCACTTCAAAGCAATGAAAAAGTCATTGTTTTAGGACTTGGAGCTCATAGAGATAACTATGTTGAGGTTTCTTATTGAACGTAGCATGATATGTTATTTTTGAAAAGGGTAGGTAAAAAGTTCATGTCTATTTTGCATGTGTGTTTGAGGATGGAGGGAAAACAGAAATCTCCAGCATCTGGATTCACATTCTGAGGAATTTACTTAAATTTTCTTATTATTACTGTGATTTCACACCAGTTTTTAGAAGCACATTGTCACTTATAGATCTGAATTTACTCTTACAAAGAGATGAAGAATGTTCTGAGAAATTTATAGTGGGTCTAAGACTAGCTAAGCTTCTCAGAGTCCCACAGGCCATGTTGTGTTTATCAGATCACTGACTCTATGGGAAAAAAAATGCTTTCTTGTCTCAGTATTTCTTTCTCTGGTTTGTGTTCATTCTGAATGGAATTAAATTAGTGTGTAGAGTTTCTACACCTAGACTACAGAAGCTGGGTCCTTTAAATGGTTCCTTGAAACCATACAGAATCCAAACCATCCACTAAAATGGGGCCATCAACCCTACAGGGTGGTTGAGAGGATTCAGTGGGATCATACAAAGAGCTCTCATGAGGCTTCAACACCATGATCCACTCTCCTGTTTTCCTCCCTCTTCCCCCAATGAATCAACACCAGGCCTCAGTGATTCTTCTTGGAAGGGTCCTTCCAATGTGTCCTCTTCTGTTCTGCTCCATAGAAACTTCTCTAATTCACCATCACTTGTCATCTGAAATATGGAAACTAGCCCGTCTGGCCTCTTGCCTCAGGCTTGCTTCATTCTAATAGAATGTCCCTTCCTCAGCCAGGCCTGCCTTCTCAAAACAAAAATAAACATGATCATCTCCTGTTTCAAACCCTTTGGTGCCACCCCAAAGTCCCCAAGATAAAGTCAGCTTCCTTCATATGGCTTACATAGTCACCCATGACCTGAGGCTGCCCAGCTTTCCAGGGCGGTGTCTGAGCTCTCTCTCTTTAGCCTTCGGTGCTCCAGAAAAGAGCATCTGTGAGAGAATAGATGCAAACAATGAATTTCATGAGTTTAATAAATATACAGCTAACATTTTCAAAACTTAGGGTATAATTTCCACAAACCTGGAATAGGTAGGTGATGTTAGAAAATAGTCAAACCCTGGTTAGTAATAGGATCCTGGCAAGTCCCTTTAGTTCCACATCTTGGCTCCTTGTGTGTGATGTGAGGGGCTTGGACAAGATGATCCCTTGGGTCTTAGAAGTCGTGGCCCCTCAGGTCTTGGAGGTCATGGCACTTAGAAGTTCCTTGACCGTGCACTCGTGTTGCATGTTCATGCTGTGTGTGCAAACAGGCTGAGCAGCGTGTCTAAAGAGGTCAAGTCCATCCTTACACTGTGACTCTTCTTTTTCAGAGCTGAAATCTACAGTTTGGGGCAAGGTGTGAATTGTCCATGAGCATTATTCATTAATATGCTAGAGAACCTGTTACTGAGTAATTCTATCAGATGCCTTGCTAGACACCTCTCAGGCATCTTTCCATTGAATTCTTTTAGTGTCCCATATGATGGATGGGTACCTTCCACCCGATGCTGCAGAAGAGAAAACTGAGCCTCCCAGATGAGAAGCCTTGCCCCACAGAGGGAAGATGAAAACAACCCCAGTCCATCAAAATTCAGGGTCTTAGCCATTGCGGCACACCTCTTCCTAAAATCCCGCCTGCCTCCCATTGTGAGAAATATTCTGCTTCTTCAGTGTGGTCAACTCACTTCTAAACTCTGATCATCTCTGACCCTCAGGGACAGTGTGACGCAAGCCAGGATTTGAGCCCAGAAACTCATACCTGCTGCCGCAGCTCTGGGTAGATGCCAGTGTGACCCCTGAACCCAGGCTGTGAGGGGGGCATGGGTAGGGGCACCTCAGACGCACCTTGCCCTCTGCCCCCCCGTCCCTTGCAAAGCGGATAGGTCCTTCAGTATCTCACAGTCAAGACAGACCCGCGGTATTTCGACTCTAATTATCATCATGATGGTAAAGCTGGTCATCATATGCCAAACATCAGGGTTATAGTGCCACCGTGTCAAGTGTTTTCCAAACTCCGGCATTGCCCACAGGACCTCGATAAGGGGGTGTGCTTTCTCTTCATACCCTTGTATCGGGGTGTGATAGCCTCACTGCTTCATTAAAATGTGGGATTTAAAAAGGAAATCGTTCACTTTTTTTCTTTTTTCTTTTTTTTGAATACAAACATTTCATGAATTTGCATGTCATCCTTGTGTGAGGACCATGCTAATTCCCTCTGTATCATTCCAATTCGAGGATATGGCCTACCGAAGCGAGCCTTAAAAAGGAAATCTTTAACTCCAAAACAAAAAACGAGGAAACTAGTCTCATTTGTTGTAAGTGCAATTTGAAGAAATGCAGGCATCACTAAATAGATGCAGGAAATTTTTTTACAGTTTACCTGTGTGCTACTCACAGTCATCGGTTCTACCAAAACGTTGTGCAAACCGGACCAGTTCTTAGGAAATCTAGATGACTTGATTGCTGGTTTTTACAATCCTGCAAGACTGGACACATTGTCTCCATTTTACAGATCACACATCATGATAATCTGCGTAATTTGCCAAAAATGTGCAATATTTCTGATTCCAACATGTTTGATCTTCCCACAGCCAATCCGGCTGCAGATCAATTAGACTCATGTCATGCAATCTTTTCTACTGTAGGCACACACTTCTGTGTTTTGTGTCTATGCTGTTATTCCTTCTTACTTTGACAGTCATGGCAAGCGACGGAGAAAACCATCAACCAGAATGTAAGTCATGATACATCTCAAAAAACTTTTTCCTTATAAAAAGGGACTCTGTGTTTCAAACTGCTAAATTTAAAAAAGCTGTTTAAAATTGTGTGTCATCTTCCTTATTGCTCATACAAATTCCAGAACCTTGGGTTAGAAAAATCCAAAGGACGATCAAACCAACGCATGTCTGTATGTCTACAGGGAAGGACTCCCAAGTAGCCCATTTTCACTGTGAATGATAATGAAATTCAGCACCTGTATGAAGAGCCTTTTCAGCCGTCCACCTCACTCATGGACCGTGGCCCACAAAAAAAAAAAAAAGGGACAGCAGAAACAGTAACCTACAGGCAACCCATGAGAATACCCCTTGTCATGATGGATGTCGGGCTTCGTGCACCAGTGCAATGACATGCCACACTGAGACATTTCAATGAGATTGTGTAAACTTTACATCTATTACCTGCAAATCTTGATGTGGGAGTGGGGAGGAAGGATAGTGGGAAGGAAGTTATTAAAGATACTATAAGAAAATGAGAGAGGATGATGAGGGAATCCAAGTGGCTGAGTTGGTTGAGTCCAACCCTTGATTTTGCCTCAGGCCATGCTCCACACTCAGTGTGGAGTCTGCTTGAGATTGTCTCCATTTCCCTCTGCCCCTTCCCCCATGTTCTTTCTCATAAATAAATAAATAAATAAATAAATAAATAAATAAATGGTGAGAAAACAAGTGGGAGAGAGAGGGAGGCAGAGGGAGGCGACCCAGGTTGCCTGTGGCTGACCAGACACACCTGACTGTCCCTGACTTCACTAAAGGTAACAAAGAGCTGAGATGCATCTGTGTGAAACAGGCCCTACCTGGTGCTAAGACCACGAGCCCTCAACAAGGGCTTTTAGCCTCAATTCAACTGCTTAGCTCAGGCTTTTCATCATTTCATGTAAAAAAAAAAAAAAAAACCACCTGCTTAGAGTGGTTACCTTAATCTAACTTGGGAAATTATAGCTGCAACTAGTATTTAGAAAACCAGTTGGCAGCCTGACAAGTGAGAGCACAGTGCCTGTGAGCAAAAATCCAGGCTCCTTGAAGCACTTTTGCCTGGGAAGATGCTATACCGGAGCTCAAAGGTAGTTCCTACAATGTGTGGACATGTCAGATTTCAGAGCAGCTTTTTAAGCAGCAAACAGAGGAAAAATGTTATTTTTTTTCACAACCATTGTGCCTTTTGAAAGAAAGGGGCCAGAGTGTGTTTATCTGACCTGTTGTGACATCATGCTGTGTTGTGACAGGCTGCAGCACAGTGAGTAAACAAATGACAAGCAATCCCTCATGGGATGGTGATATCATAGACACCTCTGAACGAGGGGACCTAGGGACTTAGTAGGGGAGGCGGGCAAGGTGGTGCCAGCATCTGGTTGGAGAGGAAGCAATAATAGGTTCGTCATTTTCTGCACGGTGTTGTTTTGGATTTTTATTTTGTATTTACTTCCAAATTCTTTATAAGCCCAGATCACTAATCTCTCAACATTTTCATATATGGTTTGATACCATGTAGCAATGTCCTGTTTTTGTTTTTGTTTCATTGCATGACCTCATTGACATTATTCGGCACTTCTGTAGCTCTTTTCCTCCTCCAGTCATTTTTTAAGCTTTGAATTGCATATGGATTGCTTTTCATTCAGAGATTATATCCTTAAAAAATTTCCCATAAACATTTCTAATTCTTTCGATCTTCTATTCCTATGACCCCTACTCCAATGATTAATGCTATCACTGATAACAATACTGAGCACCTACTCTAGGCTAAGCTCTGTGTTGATACTTTCTACACCCAATCTCTTATTCTGAGGACCTTGTAAGGTGAGCATTATATTATTTTACAGGTTGGAAAACAAAGAGTAAGAGAAGATAAATAGCTTGCCTAATGCCACATGCTTAGTAAGTGGTGGAGCTAAAATCCTACAAGAAATCCTGGGATGGAAGAGAAAAATACTCAACACAAAGTGTTTCCCAGATACTGGCTGAAAGTGATGGGAGGGAGACTTGAACTGGCCACTATCAGAGAAATCTGAGTCTCTGGGATGTAGCAAGTTCACACTGCATGTTGTCTAGTCTGTGGGCAGATGCTGAATATGGTTTTCAGAAGCTGGCTATGACCAGATGCCCTGCTCTCCACTCTAGTACTCAGGCTGAGAGCTTCCATCGTGACCTTTATCTTGGAGTGTTTCACCCAGTGATCTGCATTGAGGAGATGCCGCCCACATGATCTTTGCCCTCATGCTACATCTCAGAGAATGACTATTTAAAATGGAAACAATTCTTTTCTGAGGGAGAAAGAATATGACATAATATGGCTGTGAGTGGCCTGTGAAATTAAGGTTCTCCCGGGTTCCAGTCTAAATTTACATATTCAACATCAACATACCTGCTATCTCAATATGATCCGTGCTTTGGTATGAACCATAGAGTTTAATGAATATAAGTGAACAAAATACCTGTGTTTTAAAGAATTGTATAATTGGAATAATTCCTAGGGCGGCTAAATATGGTCTGGGATTGTTCAACTTTGAGACAATCCATAAACCTCTGATCCTATGGAAAAATAAGTTATGATGTCAAAGATGACCAGTCCCAGAAAGGACACCTTCCCAAAGCCATCTCTAGTGTCTCCCTGGAAGACAGACAAAGACAGTTTTCCCAGAGAACAAAAATCCGAACAACCAGACTAATGATTAAGAACCTGTACAACCAGCTACGGGATCCTCACAACTACTCCTGGCAGGATGTGAAATGTGCTGTGGAATGCTGACCACTGAGCATTGTTTTCCATTCTTCAAAGAGAGGTCATCCCCATCACTCCCACCCTAATGAGTCTGGTTCTCTATTTGTGTATACTGGGTGCATTAGCAATTGTTTAATTTGTCATTTGGCTATAGACCACCACACCACGAGGGAGTAGAGGAAGACCGATCAAAGAACTGGATGTCAACCTAGAATTCTTAATCCTAACCTAGAACTGAGAGAATGGACATTTTTGTAGATGTGTGTGCTTGGGAAGAGGCAGTTGCAAAACATGGGGGGCTGTAATCAGAGGCTGTTACTTTTGCCTCCTTGCATCAATCCATCCTCCTTCAAATAACAATGCCCCAGAGTCTGGAGGAAATATGTCTCCTCTCCTGTGTCTAATCAATGAAAATGTAAAGTTACAAAGGCAGAGGATTTGCTCTATACTGCTTAAGTAACTCATTTCAGTTTCCCAATCAAGCAGAGTTCAGACAGAAACAAATGACCCAGATCAAGCTGATCAGGGCCGGTGAGACTCCATTCCAAAATGTTGTTTGTGTTCCATGGAAAATGAACTCTTGCTCTCTCTGAAGCACACAAAATGTGGACATATTAGCATGGCTGTAGCTACCTCAGGAGGAAAGAGTGCTGCAAACAGGTTCAACCCCAAGGCAGCAGAGCTGAAATGCGAGGGGAACTTTGCTCGGTTAACACTGCTTGAGACTGGGGTCAGATGTCTCCCCAGGACCTTTTTGGCTTGTCCTTAAACTCAGGTGAGTTGTATTTCCTATTGAAAGCAACAGAAATCATCTCATCCAACCAATGGGCAACATTCTTGGCAAAATGAGAGATGTATGGTCACTACTGGAAAATCTACAAAACACAATAAGTGCTTTTCATAATGCTTGATGTATAGTTTAGGAAACTGATAACACTTCTAGAAATAAGAATTTGAAAGAACTAGGCCAGATTATATTATACTAGAATAGGAAGAAAGGAGTATTACTTTACTTTCAATATTTGTAGGACATAAAGTTAAACAAATCTGGCATGAATTCTTTTTGGAGCTTTTATTTATTATCTTTAAATTCAAAGTATATCTTTAGATGTGATTCTGGCATTTGTACTATTGTGATTGTTTCCAACCCCTCAGGGGGTTGAGAGAATCTTAAACATATATGAGTGTGTGTGAGCATACGCAACACAAAAACACACACACGCCCACAAAAGCTTACCAAGAAGTATAATTTTTATATTTGAAAGTGGCATCTTAAGAATTTTCCCCAGTGTGAATGTGCCTTTAGAAGTTCTCCTCTTAGCACACCAGAGAGGCTCAGTTGGTTAAGAGACCAAGTCTTGGTTTTGGCTCAGGTTGTGATCTCATGGTGAGATTGAGCCCCTGCATTGGCTTCTTGCCCAGTGTCGAGTCTCCTTGAAGGTTCCCTCCTCCTTCTTCTCCCCCTGTTTGCTCTTTCTCTCTAAATAAATCTTTGGGGGAAAAAAAAGAAAAAAAATTCTCTTCATACAGATACTGACCAAAATCAAACTGCATATTGATAACACCTGCAAAATTCAACTGATGGCAGCATAAAGTCAATCTAACATCTTTTTGACATAGCTTGGGTTCACTAGATTTTACTATTCTCTCCTAAGTTGAACTATGGTTATTTTCCTAAAAACAAACAAAAAAAAAAAGGTTGCAATCATGTTATAGAATTTTTAAATTATAAACTCGATATATCATCATTTCCTGTCTGGAA